TTCCTCGATATTATTTATGAGTTCTTTCTGTGATGCTGATACAGGTGATCGAATGGTAGTCTGCCCGTTAGTTTCTGGTTCTGTGGTTTTTAATTTCGTACTAGAAGGCTTGATCAGATTGACATTGCTGACATTGGAACCAGCGAGATTATTATCCGGCTGCGCAGTTTTTGGACTGACCATGGTTTTGAAACTTTGAATAATAACTAACTCGTAAAAAAAATGGAGTCTTCTTTTTTTGATTCTTTTTTTGATCAGAAAAGTAGACACCTAAATTAAGGTTCTAACAATAAACGTTCTTTTGCAGTATTCTATTACGGCAAGAAGCTAAGAACAACAAAAGATATCCGTTCCGCGTGAATAAAAATTTATATTTTTTCTTATGGTCGTTAGCGAGGCAGCGAAACCCCTCTCCAATACAACCTTATGCAAGAAAAAAGTTGTTTGCCTCAGCCAACAACACCCGTTTATACTAACTGCTTACGCAAAAAAAAAAAAAAAAAAAAAAAAAAAAAATCGATTTTTTTTTTGGATTGACCCCTTTCGGATATATATATATATATATATATATATATATATATATTGATATACTTTCAGTGATAGAATACGTGATACGTGGCGAAAAAGTCAGAGATATTTGATTTTTTTTTTTCCTTTTTTTTTTTTTTTTTTTTTTTTTTAAGAATAATTTGGATTATATGGCCAATCATCTGTTTGCACAGTAAACTAACAGACCAAGCTAACGTTTTTTTTGATATGATCTAAATTGAATGATCTAATCCGGCAAATATCGATATTCATCATATATTGTCATATTAAAATTGACAATACGGTTATAAAAAAAACCTGTCTCGTGCTTTCTTGGAAGCGACATCTTGCTTTTTCATCTTGGTAATTCCAAAAATACCAACACTCCGATAGAACCCGGTTTAATGCCATTTAATGTACGTACTAAAGCTGGTACCCCTTGAGTTACAAAAACAAATAACAATTAAAATCTTTGTAACAATCATAATTCGCGTCGGTTGACGTCTCGTTAAATTGTAGCACAAAAAACTGAGGATTTTTTTTAAAGAGCGTACGTATGTATGTACATATTAATACAAGATTGCCGAATTTATTAAGCCTCCTGTGGCTTCTTCTTCCAGCCGCATTCCAGGATTCTTCACTGCCCCAAATAATCGACACAAGAGCTCGAATCAGGACCATTCACCGTGTGTCATAGTACGACAATAAATCTACGGAGGCTTGATCACCATCTACCTCGATGAAAATCTCTATATACTGTAGGACCAAAATCACATTCTTATTGTTTAATCTCATGGAATTTTATTGGTTTTAAGAGAGAAAATAAAATATTTACGTATAAATTACATACCATTGGCGCCATAATACCTATGAAAGAAGGAATCGCATGCATTGTATGCACTGCGACCATTGAATATATGAGTACGACGGCAATATAATTAGTGGCGCGGGAAAATCAATCATCTTTTGGGAAATCGAATGAGTTAATGCACAAACATGCGACACTAAAACACGTAAGTCTGAAATGTGTATGGTTAGATTGCCGCACAGTAAATGATTACACTTACTGCGCATAGATGATTCTAAAAAAGTGATCCGTAATATCCCTCTTAATTGATGGTGATTCCATGTCAGTCGTGATTAGCAGATTCTCTGACTAATCATTAGCATTAGTTTGACACAATCAAGTTTCACACAATTCCTTTAAAAAATTATAAGGTGAAATCTCGACTCAGTGGTTTCACGATTGTATTATTTCGTTTAATAGCCAGTTTGCCAACACCCCCCACACCAAATAGTCACATTTATATGAGGATCTCACGTGCAAAGCATTTCGTTACCTCGAACAGCACGCTTTTTTAGTTTAAGACATGACGGTTTCGTAGCTCAATATTTTATACGTATGGGTATTGTATAACTATTATTTTCTTCCTGCATATTGCATTTTATATTTCTTTAATAAGCAAAGTTAGCTCCGGAAATAACCCAAAAATTTTTATAGTTTCTATTTTAATTTAAATTAGAAATATCTTTATTGGCTAGACCTGCGACAAAACAAAAAAAATTTAAAATTGCTTTATTCAAAATTGTATTTTTCAGGTGAAAAACAAAATGAAAAAAAAAACTATATATTATACTGTTATGTACTGTAAATTTGTTTTGCAATTTGTAATTTTTTTTTAAAAAAGCAATAAATTAGATTCTTTTATTTAAGCTGCTTGCACTATACAATATAAACTGTGTATTTTTTTGAAATTTCTTATACACAATGTCTATATCTCAAAATCATGATTATAAACCATCTTTCGGAGTTCTAACAAAAAATATTCCTCACAACATTTTAACATTGCCCTAATTTATATTTTACACGAATTTGTAAATCGATAAATTAATACCCGTGTATGAACAGTATGTGTAAACTAATAATTTTTTATTTTCTATATAAAAAAAATATATATATATATAGTATACACGTCATTCTGATTATATCGAAACTCAATTAGCTATTAATTTAATTATTATTAAAAAAAAAGAAAATCTATCTATGTGTATATACATACACAAGTATATTAATTTGCAATCCCGTAACATGATAATCAAAAATTTCTATAAAAGAAAAAATTAAATCCTTTCTCATAGTTAGGGTAAGTGTAGGTCTGGGATTGGGGTGAGATATATATACGTAGTTTATACCAAAATTTTGCAAAAAAAAATTTTTTTTTGTTATAAGACAAAGGTGGTTTCATAATCGAAATTTTAAAAAATAACAATATACACTAGTATATAATAGTAATTGCCAAAAAAAAAATAGTTTTTTTTTTAAAAAAAATATACTATATAAAAAATATATATAAGATATGATAATATAGTAAAGTAGTTATTATAGTATTTTTTAAATAATAAATTTGAAGTTTAAAAAATTTTTTAAAAAAATCTATAGTGCAAACAATTTAGTTCTAAAAAATAAAGTTGACAAAATTAAAATTGTTAATTTATTTTTAAACAAAATAGTAAACACAAAATATTATTTTAAAATATTAAATTAAAGCAAGCTAATTATTTTTATGTTTTTGAATTTTTTTTAATCTATTTATAAAAAAGATATGGCAAGTTAAATTATATATTTTTATAATTAAATGTATATAAAATTTGGCTAATTTACACTATTTATACAATATATAAATATATAATTAGTTTTTTTAAATAATTTTTTTATTGTAATATATTAAACTTTGAGGTGTTAACTATATCACTTGACTTAATATACAAAGAGTAAAAAATGTATATAAATAAAAATAAAACAAAAAACAAAACTATAACAAAAGACAAAAGATAAAACAAAAAAAAATACTCAAGAAAGAAAACAAATACAAGACAAAAACAAGACAAAAATACAATAGAAGGAGCTTTTACAATATAGTAAATAAAAGGTCAAGAGTATATACAATATAGTAGGTATATAGCCAAAGAAAGATATTAGTTTATTAGATATAAAAATAAGAAAATAGAAAACAAAATCTAATTTGCCCTAAAGAAAAAGGCAGAATTTATATAGCTTTAGAATTATTAAAAAAATACTACTATTATATTGGTAAATATACCAAAGTATTATACTAAGATACTATACTAAGGTATTATAATAAGATACTATACTAAGATACTATACTAAGATACTATAATAAGGTACTATACTAAGATACTATCTCTTAATTAGTAGAGATTTGCAAGCAAATTTTGCTATATAATTACTATAAATATATCTCTAATCTACTTTTTTAATTATTTAAAATATAAAAGCATAGTAGCTTAGTGAAATGATCTAGTTATCACTTTACTAGGTGGCAGATCCAAAGTTCAAATCCTACAGACAATGTTTTCAAAAAATAAGCCTGCATTATGTTAATGATTATCTGTCAATTAGTTGGATCTAAAATCTATAATCTTGGTTGTATCATCTAAAATAGAAGCCTTGATATATAAATACCAAGAAACTATAATGATTGAAACCTGTTTGGGAAAACCCAAGTAAAGAAGTAACTACAATCTTTGATAGTGCTACAAAAAAGACCTGAATTTGGAAGTTAGAACTGAAATTGAAGAACCAAATAACAATAAGATCCTTTAGTAAAAAGATTTACTAATCTGATCACCAATTTAGAAAAAATTAGAAATCTGCAAAACTATTACAAAGTATATCAACTCTAGCTAGCTAATATGAAAAACTAGTAGTAAAGGCCCTATCTACCAAGACCAGAGGTTATAAAAGTTAGGTGAAAACCAGTCAAACAGAAAAATACTAGGTGTGTCTAGAGGACTAGCCAACCAAATTAAAAAAAAAATATTTATGTTAGAAAATTATATATTAAGACAAGACAAGGATACTAGACACCTAATACCAAGCCAAGATTGAATCTTCTGAGTTAATAGTTAGAAGTAAAGGATAAACTAATAAGGAAATAACAAAAAAAGAAAAAGCCCAAATGTGAGTACTGGGATTGAGATATAAACTTTATAAGAGCAAAAGTGATTAAATAGATAAAAACTTAACTGCAAGTGGGAGCCTTAGCAACTATGCAAAACCAGGTTGGCCCAAATAGAATAGAGAAAGCTCTGATAGATTTACCTCGAGAATAGTCATGCATCTGCTTAATAGAGAAATACAAGCCAGTAATTAGTCTGTACAAATCTAGAATAAGTCATGGAAGTTTTAAGCCAGAATATACAATATAGCAAAATGGTCAAATAGTAGTTCTTGGGTTAGTAAGATAAGCTTAAAAATAGTTAGAACTAGAAGATTTAAATAGATAACTCTCTAGTTAGGTTATAGATATAATATTTAATAAAAACCCTGCAAGCAGACTACTTAAATAGGTACCTAAAAGATGTACATGTAGCTAGTTGTATCTTTATTGTAACTATAATAGTAAAATAATTACTAATAAAAAATTCCTATAGTCAAAGAGATCACCTTAATACTGAAAAAAAAAAATTATTTAAAATATTTAAATAAAATTTAATATAATAATATTTGAAAATAAAGATTATATTTTTGTAATATTTGTATTTATATTATAAAACAAAATTTTAAAATTGCATATAAGCTAAAAATAAATAATTTTAACGAAATTTTTTAACTAAAAAATTAATTTACAATT